CGGATGGGGCCGGGGTGCGGCGATGTGAGCGAGATGGGTTTATTACACGGAGTCTGTTGCTGCGATTGTTATCGATCCGCAGCTGTCACCTTCCATTGCCGCTAATGGGACGTGAAGAGGCTTCGGTGACCGGAGCCGAGCGTGCGCTGCTGCGTGCTGCCGCGTGCTGCTCCCGGCCCCGGCCCCGCAGCCGCCCCTTCCTCCCCTTCTCCTTTCCTCCCTCCTCTCTCGCTCCTTCTCTGCCATTTCTCCTATCCTTCTCTCTATCCGCCTCAGGGTTCCACGTCCTCCTCTTGCAGCTGCCTCTCTCCTCCCGTCTCCGTCCTTCTGCTCCTCTCACCTCACTCCCGCTCCCCTTTGCCCAGTCTCACTCCCCCTGCCCACATCTCACTTCTCCCTTCTTTTTGCCATCGCTTGCCATGTTTATGGCCATTCCCCTTTCTCAGCTGCCCCAAACTCTGGGCAGCTCCAGTTTATGGTCACCCATCTCTCACCCCATCTACTGGGGCCGCCCGCAGCCTCTACTTCTCCGTTCTCCCACCCCACCTCTCCTTTGTTGTTATTTTAATACGAGGTCTGCTGGAAGGGGGGGATTAACCTATGAGAAGTGCCAAGCTGACCCCAGGGGCTGCATCCCGTGGGACGGGGACACGGGGTGCGCGCTGGGGGCCATTGGAGCCGGACTGGGAGCGCGGCTCTGAGCGAAGGGCTGCTCCTGGCAGCGCACTCCCCATCACACAGCGCTGCGCTCCCTGGAGCCCTTCATGTCTGAACAGCTCGTGCGCCGCCCGGGCAATCCCTCCCAATTAAGGGCAGGGAAAGCAAAGGAGCCCGAGCCCGCACGGCTCTTTGGTAGGCAAACACACAGCGCCCGGGGCACTGGCACGCTGCCGCCGTGCTCAGGGTGTCGCAATGGGTGGGCATTCACAGCAAGCTCCTGGATCGGCAAGAAACGCGCGGGCTCCACCCGACCGCCGCCGATGTGCTGCCCGGGCGCGTCCGTCTGGCTCCGGCAAGGATCGAGCGGGCGGCACGGAGCTGTGGGTGCTGCAGTGCTGAGCCCTGTGCATAGCACTGCGCCGAGCCCTGCAGCCAGCCCTGCGCCGAGCCTTGCACCCAACCCTGCACCGAGCTCTGCATCCAGCTCTGCACCCAGCCCTGCACCGAGCTTTCCATCCAGCTCTGCGCTGAGCCTTGCACCCAGTCCTGCATCCAGCCCTGCATCGACCCCTTTGCTGAGCCTGCGCTGAGCCCTGCACCCAGTCCTGCACCCAGCCCTGCACCCAACCCTGCACTGAGCCGTGCACCCACCCCTGCACCCAGCCCTGTGCCTCGCTGCCTGGCTGGACCCCCCCCTCACACCGCTTTCCATCACGTTAGCCTCGGTTGATTTAACCAGAAAACAACCCCAGAATTTAATTCCCCGGCGCTGCTTCTCCCATCCTGATCAGGAGGCAGCCGCCTGCTGCCTGAACCTGAGCTGAGCCCACTGGGGCGCTGGGGACACCCCTGTACCAAAGGCAGTGTGAGGTGGCCACAATCCCCCGTGTGCCTGCAGGGATCCAGCACCTGGTGCCAATGGAAAGAAGCAGTGCCAAGCTCCAGCATCCCCATACATATCCCCATGCATGTCCCAGTGCTGCGCCATGGAGCATCCCGTGGGGACACACCGGGTGTACGTGGTGCAAGTGAAGCTGAACCAGTGACAGAGTCCAGCCCTGCTGTCTCCATTGCTGCTGGGCCACGGAGGGATGTGTGGTGGGACAACAGCACCTCTTGCACCTCCTTGTCCCACTTCAGAGGGCTTGGATAGGGGAATGGAGTGAGCTGGAAGTGAGCTCAAAGCCTCTTGCCGCAGCAGGCGTCGGCATTTTTGGTGTCTCTGTGCTCCACACTGGGTTGCGTGGGGGTTTGTAGGGATGGAGAGCTCCATCCCAGGCACCCCATCCACCCATTCCTCCATTGCCTCCCTGCCCCGGGCCTGGCTGCGTGCGACCCCAGGGACGGGTGCGGGGGTCTCTGGGCAGCCCCACTGCCTGCAAGAAGGAGGAGGAGGAGGAGGAGGACAGGGGGGGAGCCACGGTCAGGCGGCGGCGGCGGTCGGCAGCCTGTGGCCGGTGAGGGGTTAACGCGATTGTCTCGCAGCCACGGCCGCCCTCCCGGGAGCGCCGAGGACTGGGTTTTCATTTTAAGTAACCCCAACGCCGCACGCGACGAAATGCATCGGGTCGGGGGCGACAGTGGAGGGGAGCGCCTGGGGGAGGCGGATGCAGCGCGGCAACCGGGAGGTAGGAGAGCATCGGGGAAGAGGGAGGGGGGGTCCCAGCCCCAATGTCCCACACCCGTCCCATTGCTGTCCTCGTGCTGGGACGTCCCCAGGGTTGGCGGTGGGTGTTTGGGGTCACTGCGGCGGTGGTGGCCTCGTGTTGCCGAGGCTGCTCTGTGCCTTCGGCCTCGGTCGGTCACTGATGGCTGCAGAGCGAGGTCTCTCGCCCCGCAGGGAACTTCCAGGTGAGCTGCGTCTCTCTGCTGGTTGAACTGCGAGAGAGAAAAAGGGAGCAAAGGGGAAAAGAGGGAAATTTAGGGGATGGCTTCTCTTTGGCTGAGCATCCCGCACTGCTCGCATCCACCCGGCTCGCTGCCTGCACCGAAGCGGATTTCAGCAGCGAGGGAAAACCTCAAAGAGCTTTGGGGATTAGGAACGGGCTCAGGGGATGGGAGCTGCCATATCTCATCCTGCATCTCGGCCGATATCCCATCCTGCACCCTGGCAGGGCACTGTCACAGCAGTTCTCGGGCAGTGGGGATGCTCCCAGACCACTTCTGTCTCCCTGTCCCCGTCCCGTCCCCACATCCCGCCCGGCGCTGCCCTGTGCGCTGCCCCAGCATCGCTCCCGTCCCAGCTCTGCTTTGCGAGAAGGGTTCCTTAACGATTCAGCACTGAATTCCTGCAGCACCTCCTGCAGCGGGGACAGAGCGCGGATGGGGAAGGCGTTGCTCTGTCCGCTGGGGCTGCGCTGAGCTCCTGTCCCCGTCCCCTCGCCAGGACTTTGCCTTTCCGCGGTGACCTTCACCCCGTCCCCGCTGTCCCTCCCCGGTTAGGGTTTCTGTTTGACCATGGTACAAAACCTTTTAAATCCCACAGCCCCTGGAGACGAGGAGAATGGAAGGAGATTGAAGGGAGATGGGGGGAAGGAGGAACAGCACTGTGAGCACCGGAGCCTGGATTTGGGGCTGGGGTCTGACTCAGCAGTGCTGGGACTCTGGCGCTGGGAAATTGGGGTGCATCTCCAGGCGGTGGTGGTGATGTTTTCCCCCATTGCGGATGGGGGTGGGCAGCCTCTCTCTCCCTGCCCCACACCTGGAATGGGCCCCCTGCCCGCCCCACTCGGACCCTCAGCTCCATGCTTTTCCGATGGCCTCTAAGCCGCTTGTTTTAATAGCATTAATGCTTTTAAACAAACAGCCCCTTCACCTCCGCCTGCTTCGCGCGATGCCCGGGAGGGCTGAGCAAGATAAGGGGATTGGAGCGGGATTTGGGAGAGATAAAGGGGCAGGAATCCAGGCAGACCCCAGCACGGACAGACCTCAACCTGGACAGACCTCAGCCCAGACAGACAGACGAGTTTGGTCCCATGAGGTCGGCACCATGCGCTGTGTCCCCATCCCAGGGATACCTCACTGCTTGTGTCCCTTGGGCAGTTGTGTTCCCATCCCCAATTGAAAGCCCATCACCTCCCTCCCCTCCCGCTCAAGGTGTCCCTCATCCCAAAGGGGGGCACCCCGGGGTGACACCTCCAGGTCCAGGGGTCCCAAAGGGTTCAACCCAGCCTGGAAGCGCAGACCCACAACCTTTGGCACGGGGACCACAGAGACATGAAAGCGGCGGCGAGGCGCTCGCTAATGAGGGAGAATAAAGGAGCGGGGAGAGCAAAGCAAATGAGGAGAGCAAACAAGAAGGGAAGAACAGGCAAGAGACATTTTCATAACCGCTCGGTGCTGAGCGAGCCCTCGGGGCGGTTCTTTGCCTCCTGCCCTTTGTATCTGCTGTTCTCAGGGGCCTGTTTGCATTTCTGCTCGAATCCAAACAGCCCGCGCTGCCCCGGCTCTATTTACCCTCCTGGGACGGCGCCGGGGCCGACGTGGAACCCATAGCCCAAAAAAAGGGCCATCACCACCACCTCCCAGCTCTGCCATCGCCTCTTTCTCCTTATTTTACCCAATCTCAATTCACCTTCTAATAAACCATGGGTACTACCAGGCACGGGGCTGCTCTGTGCCCCCAATTTCCCCCTGCCACAGAGCAAAGGGGGAGTGTGAGCCGCAGCACCTGGGTGTGGGGTGCTCCCCCTGTGCCCTTCCAGCAATTTCTTGCTTCCTGCCGGGGGTAAGATTTACTCTCTACCCATCCCCTCCCTGTATATATGGAGGTGGTTCTCCCTAAGACCCTCAGATGTTTTCTCTCGCTCCTGTCCACGTGCTACTGCCTGGGATCGGGTCCCCGACGTTGCCGCAGGTGAGTGGGGCATGAAGTGGCCATGGGAACTGGAGGGGTTGTGCTTTCTGCTCTTGCTTGGATGCTCTGAAAGAGGGAAGGAATGGTGAATTTTGATGGTTTGCACTCGCTCAGGGTGCCACCCCCATCCACCTGTCCTTCCTGCTTCCAAGGCCCCCCCGGATGCTGGGAGCATCCCCCGATGCTGAGCACATCCCCAGTGCTGAGAGCAGCCCCTGTGCTGGATGTATCCCCAGTGCTGGGAGCATCCCTTGGTGACGGAAGCATTCTCTGGTGCTGGGTATATCCGCAGTGCTTGGTGCACCCCCTTATGCTGCGAGCATCCTCAGTGCTGAGAGCATCACCCAGTGCTGGATGTACTCCCTGTACTGGGTGTACCCCTGGTACTGGGAGCATCCCCTGGTGCTGGATGTATCCTCCGGTGCTGGGTGTATCCCTGATGCTGTGTTCTTGCCCCCATGACCCCTCTGCTTTATGCCCTCAGGCTGCAGCATGCAGTGCGGCTGCGTGGCCCCGGGGCTGCCCGCCCTGCCTGGCTCCTACTGGGTACCAGGTGAGCACCAGCACAGCCACACTGGGAGCGACTGGGACCATCCTGCATGAACCGTGGTCCTCCCCACAGACCCACAGGCTGCCTACTGGTCTGGGGACATGGCTGTGATCCCTGGGCAGAGCCCAGATAGGGGGTGATGTCCCCAATCCCGGGGCTCTAAGCTACTGCCCACCTTGCAGGGCTTGCCTTCCCAGATTGGGCGTATAAGGCCGAGTCCAGCCCTGGCTCGCGACAGATCCAGCTCTGGCACTTCATCCTGGAGCTGCTGCAGAAGGAGGAGTTCCGCCATGTCATTGCCTGGCAGCAGGGCGAGTACGGGGAGTTCGTCATCAAGGACCCCGACGAGGTGGCACGGCTGTGGGGCCGGCGGAAGTGCAAACCCCAGATGAACTACGACAAGCTGAGCCGAGCTCTCAGGTGCTGCCGGGTCCACGGAGAGCTTTTGGGAACATGGAGAGCCCTCGGGGATGTGGTGCTGCAGGAAAACCTGGCCCTGACCCTCTATGCAGCACAGCCCACCTGCATGGGGACAGTGGGGATGTGGTTTGGGAGCTCTCCTGGTTCTCAGCTTGTGATGGGGAGGAATTTATGCAAAGCTTTCGCGTGTCCATCTGTCCATCCGTCCACACACCCCTCCCTCCATCCACCCATCCACCCATCTGTCCATCCATCCATCCATCCATCCATCCATCCATCCATCCATCCGTCCACCCACCCATCCGTCCATCCATCCATCCATCCATCCATCCATCCATCCATCCATCCATCCATCCATCCATCCATCCATCCATCCATCCCTCCATCCCTCCATCCCTCCATCCCTCCATCCATACATCCATCCCTCCATACATCCATCCCTCCATCCATCCATCCACCCATCCCTCCACCCATCCCTCCATCCCTCCATCCCTCCATCCATACGTTCATCTCTTCCTCCATCCATCTCTCCATCCATCCATGCTGCTAACACCCCACCATTCCCCCCTACCCCCCCCAGGTATTACTACAACAAGCGCATCTTGCACAAGACCAAGGGCAAACGCTTCACCTACAAATTCAACTTCAGCAAACTCATCTTCGTCAACTGCCCTCTGTGGGACCTGCGCTGCCCCCCATTGCTGGCAGGCGCCGTTCCCCCAGCCCTGCCGAGCCAGGTAGAGTCCCATCACAGCGAGGACAGCCCTGGGGATGGCTGTTCATCCCCACCTCTGCCACGTCCCCATCTGTCCCCCACAGCTGCTGCAGAACGCGTTGCTGAGCCGGCGGACGCTGGCGGAGCCGCTGGGCTGGCACCGTGGTCCCCGGCACCCACTGCTCCCTGAGGCACCTGAGAAATCCCGTAAGTGTGGGGCACTGACGGCCCACGTGCATCAGGCAAGGGACACACACACAGTGTGCCTGGGAATGATGGTGGTCACTGGTGGGGGTCGGAAGCAATGGGCGCTGGGGGCCAACGGGTGCCGCAGCTCTGCCCCTGGGTGCAGGCACAGAGCCCAATGCAAGCGGGGCCACGGCCGTTGCCGGTCCCACAGCAGCACCCAGTGGCTGCAGCAGGGAGAAGGGGGGGGCCATGGGTGCTGGTGTAGGGTGCACACGGGGGTCTCAGTGCCCGGAGGCTCTCACAAGGCTCTGTCTCTTTGCCACTCACAGGGCTGAGCACCGTGTCCCCCCCGTGCCTGGGGGGCTCCTGCTGCCGCCTGGGGGGCCCCGAAGAGTTCCCCCGCTTGGCTGCCTTCCCCTGCCCTCTGCTGCCTCCCCCGCTGAGGGAATGGACCCCCTTCCCCATCCTGCACCCCTCACCGCACCCTACATCGCTGCTGCCCCCCCAGCTGGGACCCCCCTCTCCCATGGGGCTCCCCAAATCGGAGCCGTTCCCGCTGGGCCCCCGTTGCCCCCCTGGGCTCCTCGGTGGCCACACCATGGCTGGAGGGGGGCTCACAGGCGAGCAACCCAGGGAGGACGGCGAGGAGGAGGAGGAGGTGGATGAAGGCCGGCGTGGCACAGCCATGGTACAGAGGGTGAAGCTGCAGCTGGAGGGCAGAGAGAAGGGCAGCAGTGGGCTGTCCCCTGCCAGTTTCACCCCCCCACAGCGTGCCGTACCCCCACAGCCCCCCAGCTGGCCTCTGCAGCCACCCTAAGGTGGGTGTGCAGGGGCACAGCAGCCCCCAGACCTCAAGACAACCCACACGGACGGAAATAAAAAGGTTTGCAGAGGGCTGTGGTTGTCTTGCTGGCAGCAGCCCAAAGCCACCGTCACCACAGACCCTCTGGGGTCTGCTGCTGGGACCCCTCCATGCAAAGGGGATGATAGGGCACAATTTGGAGAGGGACGGGGGGAGGGAGGGGAGGGGAGGGAAGGGTTTGGGGGATGGTCCCAGCAGCCTCTGCTCGTTACCAGGAATTCCCGGAAAATGGCCCCAGCTCATTTTCATTTTCACTTTTCCACGTTTTCCCTGCTGGGAACTTGACATAGGGAAAAGGACTTTCCCCAACTCTCCATTTTGAGGCTTTTTTGTGCCCCATTTACCATCTCCAGTGGCACAGAACACCTGTGGGGCTCCCAAGGCAGTGGGGGCTTGTGTGACCCCCTGGGACCCCAAAATCTGACCTCCAGGAACCCCAAAATCTGCAAAGAGACCTCAGCATTGGGATGAAACGGGTACCACCGGGATGTGGGGTGCCCCATAGCCAGGGGGTGTCTATGGGTCTGCAGTACTGAGGCTGTCCCTGTGAGTCTCCAAATCTCTGCTGTCCCTTCAAGTTCCCCATATAGGCTCTGTCCACTTCAGTCACCAAATCCCTGCTGTCCCCATGGAGCCCCACACCTGGGTACCCACTGTGTGTCTCCCTCCCCAGTTAGTCCCTACAGGTCCCCAGGAGCCCTACCATACCCAGGAAGTCCCATTTATCCCCCAAACCCATGCAATCTCTGCAGGTCCTCAAATCTCTGCTGTCCCTGTGGCTGCCCCAAATCTCTGCTGTCCCCATAGGTGCTCCAAATCCACGGGTGCCCCAAACTTGGCTGCCAAATCTGGGTACCCACTGTGTCCCCCCCTCAACACCCATCAATCCCTGCAGGTCCCCAGATCAGTGCTGCCCCCAGGAACCCTGATAGTCCCATACATCCCCCAAACCCATGCAATCTCTGCAGGTCCCCAAATCTCTGCTCTCCTTGTGAACGCCTCAAATCTCTGCTGTCCATGGGTGCCCCAAATCCACGAGTGTCCCAAACTTGGCTGCCAAATCTGGGTGCCAAATCTGGGCACCCACTGTGTCCCCCCCCCCAACACCCATCAGTCCCTGCAGGTCCCCAGATCAGTGCTGCCCCTGGAACCCTCCCACATCCTGGTAGTCCCACACATCCCCCAAACCCATGCAATCTCTGCAGATCCACAAATCTCTGCTGTCCCCATGGGTGCCCCAAATCCACGGGTGCCCCAAACTTGGCTGCCAAATCTGGGTGCCAAATCTGGGTACCCACTGTGTCCCCCCCCCCAACACCCATCAATCCCTGCAGGTCCCCAGATCAGTGCTGCCCCCAGGAGTCCTCCCATACCCTGATAGTCCCACACATCCCCCAAACCCATGCAATCTCTGCAGATCCACAAATCTCTGCTCTCCTTGTGAACGCCTCAAATCTCTGCTGTCCATGGGTGCCCCAAATCCATGGGTGCCCCAAACTTGACTGCCAAATCTGGGTACCCACTGTGTCCCCCCCTCAACACCCATCAATCCCTGCAGGTCCCCAGATCAGTGCTGCCCCCAGGAGTCCTCCCATACCCTGATAGTCCCATACATCCCCCAAACCCATGCAATCTCTGCAGGTCCCCAAATCTCTGCTCTCCTTGTGAACGCCTCAAATCTCTGCTGTCCATGGGTGCCCCAAATCCACGGGTGCCCCAAACTTGACTGCCAAATCTGGGTGCCAAATCTGGGCACCCACTGTGTCCCCCCCCCCAACACCCATCAGTCCCTGCAGGTCCCCAGATCAGTGCTGCCCCTGGAACCCTCCCACATCCTGGTAGTCCCACACATCCCCCAAACCCATGCAACCTCTGCAGATCCACAAATCTCTGCTGTCCCCATGGGTGCCCCAAATCCATGGGTGCCCCAAATTTGACTGCCAAATCTGGGTGCCAAATCTGGTTACCCACTGTGTCCCCCCCCCAACACCCATCAATCCCTGCAGGTCCCCAGATCAGTGCTGCCCCCAGGAGTCCTCCCATACCCTGATAGTCCCATACATCCCCCAAACCCATGCAATCTCTGCAGGTCCCCAAATCTCTGCTCTCCTTGTGAACGCCTCAAATCTCTGCTGTCCATGGGTGCCCCAAATCCACGGGTGCCCCAAACTTGACTGCCAAATCTGGGTGCCAAATCTGGGCACCCACTGTGTCCCCCCCCCCAACACCCATCAGTCCCTGCAGGTCCCCAGATCAGTGCTGCCCCTGGAACCCTCCCACATCCTGGTAGTCCCACACATCCCCCAAACCCATGCAATCTCTGCAGATCCACAAATCTCTGCTGTCCCCATGGGTGCCCCAAATCCATGGGTGCCCCAAATTTGACTGCCAAATCTGGGTGCCAAATCTGGGTACCCACTGTGTCCCCCCCCCAACACCCATCAATCCCTGATGGTCCCCAGATCAGTGCTGCCCCCAGGAGTCCTCCCATACCCTGATAGTCCCATACATCCCCCAAACCCATGCAATCTCTGCAGGTCCCCAAATCTCTGCTGTCCCTGTGAACACCTCAAATCTCTGCTGTCCATGGGTGCCCCAAATCCACGAGTGTCCCAAACTTGGCTGCCAAATCTGGGTGCCAAATCTGGGCACCCACTGTGTGTCCCCCCCCCAACACCCATCAGTCCCTGCAGGTCCCCAGATCAGTGCTGCCCCTGGAACCCTCCCACATCCTGGTAGTCCCACACATCCCCCAAACCCATGCAATCTCTGCAGATCCACAAATCTCTGCTCTCCTTGTGAACGCCTCAAATCTCTGCTGTCCATGGGTGCCCCAAATCCATGGGTGCCCCAAACTTGACTGCCAAATCTGGGTACCCACTGTGTCCCCCCCTCAACACCCATCAATCCCTGCAGGTCCCCAGATCAGTGCTGCCCCCAGGAGTCCTCCCATACCCTGATAGTCCCATACATCCCCCAAACCCATGCAATCTCTGCAGGTCCCCAAATCTCTGCTCTCCTTGTGAACGCCTCAAATCTCTGCTGTCCCCATGGGTGCCCCAAATCCATGGGTGCCCCAAACTTGACTGCCAAATCTGGGTACCCACTGTGTCCCCCCCCCAACACCCATAAATCCCTGCAGGTCCCCAGATCAGCGCTGTCCCTGGAACCCTCCCATCCCCATATATCCCCCAATCCCCGCGTGTCCCCAAACCCACGCAGACCCCCCGCACCCGTTCACACCCCCAGCTCTCCGCTACCCCCCCCCCCCCCACCTCCTCCCCGCTTCACCCTTCCCCCCCCCTCCCCGGATCCCCCCCATATCCGGGTATCTCCGCCGTTCCCTAAAACCCCGCACCCCTCCCTCGCAGCCCCCGCCGGCTCTGCCCGCTCAGCGGCGGGGCCGAGGGCCGGGCGAGGCCGGGGATTGGGAGGGCCGTAGGCCTCTCCCTCGGCCCGGCCCCCAGAGCCGGGCGGTGGGGCGGGGGGACCGCGCCGAGCCGGGCCGCGCCGAGCGGAGCCGCGCCGCGCCGAGCCGGGCCGAGCCGGGCCGGGCCGGGCCCGCCGCGCTCCCCGGGGCCGCTCGGGGGACGCTGGAGCCGGGCAGCGCCGCGCCGCGCTCCGCCGCGGGGCCGCCGGGCGCCCGGGGATGGTGGCGGCCGGCGCGGGGTTGCGGTTCCCCGAATCCTGAAAGCGGCTGCGGCCCACGGGCGCCGGGCGGCGGCTGCGGGGACGAGGAGGAACCATGAGCGTGAGGCCGCCGCAGGCCGCCCCGGACAGGTACGGGGGGAACGAGTCGGCCGGGATCCGCTGGCGCGTAGCGGCACTGAGTGGAGGGTTGGGGTCCCGATGGGGGTCTGGGGGTGTCGGAGGGGAGGGGGCGTCGCGGGGCTGCGAGCCGAAGAGGGGAGCAAAGGGCGGTGGTGCTGGGAGGTGGGGATGAGTTGGGGGTGAGTGGATGTGATGGTGCTGGGCTCTGGGGGTGAGCAGACAGCGGTGCTGGGCGCTGGGGCTGAGTGCATGCGGTGGTTGCTGGGGCTGAGTGCGTGGAATGGTGCTGAGGCTGAGTGCATGGAATCGGGGTGGGCAGTGGGGCTGAATGCGTGCGGTGGTTGCTGGGGTTGTGCGGGCACAGCGGTGCTGAGCAGTGGGGCTGAGTGAATGCAGTGGTGCTGGGGCTGAGTGCATGTAATGGTGGTGGGCAGCGGGGTTGAACAGAGACAGTGGTGCTGGGCGCTGGGGGTGAGTGCATGCAGTGGTGCTGAGGCTAATTGCATGCTGGGCAGTGGGGTTGAACAGACGCAGCTGTGCTGGGGTTGCGTGCATCCATTAGTGCTGGGCACTGAGGGTGAGCAGGCAATGGTGCTGAGCTCTGGGGCTGAGTGCATGCAGGGGTTCTATGCTCTGGGGGGGTGAGCAGACACAGTGGTGCTGGGGCACAGTGCATGCAGTGGTGCTGAGCACTGGGGTTGAACAGAGACAGTGGTGCTGAGCAGTGGGGCTGAATGCATGCAGTGGTTGCTGGGGTTGAACAGAGACATTGGTGCTGAGCAGTGGGGCTGAATGCATGCAGTGGTTGCTGGGGTTGAACAGAGACAGTGGTGCTGAGCAGTGGGGCTGAATGCATGCAGTGGTTGCTGGGGCTGAGTGCAAGTAATGGTGCTGAGGCTAAGTGCGTGCAATGGTGCTGAGCCCTGGAGTTGAACAGACACAGTGGTGCTGGGCACTGGGGCTGAGAGCATGCAGTGGTTTATGGGGTCGTGTGGGCACAGTGGTGCTGGGCAGTGGGGCTAAATGCATGTGGTGGTGCTGGGCACTGGGGGTCAGCAGATACAGTGTCTCTGGGGTTGAGTGGACACAGCAGTGCTGGGGCTGGATGCACGCAGTGGCTCGGGGTGCTGGCATTGGGTTGGGTGCCATATGCTGTCCCCTTGCTGCATCCCTGTGCCCCTCGGTGCGTCCCACCATTGGGTTCCTTCCGCCTGCAGGTTGACGGTGGGTTATTTTTAATTAATTCTTGCTGATAAATCTATCAGCCCACAGCTCCCCAGGGGCTGAACTGTGGGGTGGCTGTGGGTGGGACCCCTCCCTCCCCCCCCAAAAAGAGCCCTTCTTCACATCCCCAAAGCGCTGTGAGGTTTGGCTGAGGTGCTGCGGTTGTCTCTGCTGTGGCCCCAGAGTGGGGACCCCGAAAAGATGCAGCTCAGCTTCAAGGAGCTGCGGGCTGATGTTGGAAACCGTGGACCAAAGGAGCAAGGAGCAACGCTGTCAAATAACTCTGCTGGTGCCCAAGTGGGAGAGGGGATGCTGCCCATCCATCGTTTGGATGTTGAGAACAGTTTGTGGGGAGCCCTCAGTTGGATGTCCGTGCTCCTGTGCTGGGCTCTGAACCCATCACACCACCGTCCGTCGCCTTGGGGCTGTGGTTTGGGGCACTCAGTGCTGGGGTAGCTTGGCTGCTCCTCTCTGTACCCCTGCCTGGTGCTCATTGTGCCCTATGGATAGGATTAACCGAGTGCTTCCACCTCTGGGATGGAGCACGGCTGCAGAACCATGCACCAGGCTCTTCCTTGGGCTTTGCTGGGCTCAGTGGCGATGAGGCCGTGATCAGAGCTGGAGGTGCTGCTTGCTGTGACCTGGAGCTGGTGCCAGGTGTTGGTGTGAGCCTTAATGCCTCTCTCTGCTCCTTAAATAGCCGCCGTCCTGCTGCTCCGTAAGGTCAGCAGCCTCAGGTGCTCTGGGAAGCTGTTCTCCAGCACGAAAGCAACCTGAAAATGGGTGAAATGGTGTGAAATTGAGGACTTTCTCCCTCTGGCTTGCTGGTGAGGGGCGGCCTCAAGGTGGGCGCAGGGCAAGGGCAACCTGATGCTGTCCTGGTGTCATCCCTGCGCCATCCCATGGGCAGGGGATGTGTGAAGATGATGGCGCTCAGTCTCTGCTCTGCAGCCTCCAGCCTCAACCCACAGGAGCCGTTCCCAGCGCTGTTGCTTGCAGCTCCTCGTGCTGCTCTGACAGAACGGTGCCGCAGGGCGTGCGTGGTGGGAGGGCAGGGAGAAAGCGTCCCTGCAGGGCAGTTGTTCCGTGCCTCACTCGCTGCTTTGCACCTCACGTGGCTTCAGGGGTGAACCGCCTCAGCCACGCCGGGTTTGTCGGGGCCAAGCGGCACCGTGGGCACTTCAGCAGAGCCACATGGGAATGGGGTTTCCTTCCTTCCGGAGCCTAGCTTTGCTTTCCCTGTCTGCCACCCTCTGCGCTCCCATGCCGTGGGCAGGGAGGGGAAGGATGGCAGACACTTTTCCCAACAGGGAGGAGAGGGTTGGATGGGTGCAGGCTCGCTCAGTGCCGCCGGCAGCACTAACGCCGCAGCATTTATGGAGCACAGTTCATGTGCAAAGCGCTCCTCAAACATTGTTGAGGCATAAATGCTCATCTCTCAACCCCTCGTGCAGCTCTTGAGCAACAGGAGCTCCCTGGGCGCTGTGCTCTTGGACCCTGCCCTGCTTGGCACAGCTGGCGTAGCTCAAGGCAGTTGCACTGCAGTGGCCCCGCCATGTCCAGGTCCCCACCAGGACCAGGACCAGGTCCTTCCTACAGGCTGTGGCCAAGGTCTCACCCTTCTGGTGTTCCCTTCCGGGTTGCACCTTTGCTATCACCGTCACCAAAGTCCCCACCTCACCACGTTGAGGCTCCCCGCAGGGAATGGGCAATACCAAAATTCACAGGAATGGAGTCCGCCGTGCCATTTAAGTAACCGGGGCTGCTGCACTCGTGTTAATTTGTTTTTTTCCCCTCCCATTTAATTAAAAACCTTAGTTTAAACAAAGCTCCCACGGAATCCTGTCTGCTGCAGCAAGGTTGCTGCGGGATCCCAGGGATTTAAACTCAGTTTGCTGTGGAGTGGACGTGGAGCTTTGCGTCTGATGTGCAGAAGGGAAATTGATACCCACGGGCCAAGCTTTGCTTTGCTTTGCTTCTCTCCCTCAGAAGTAAAAGCAACCAGAAGAAGACAAACAAACAGGTTGGCTGCTGAAACCCCAGTGAGTTTGGAGGGCTCCTGTGTGGGTGTCACAGTGCAATGGGGCTGTGCTCTCTGCTGGTTTCCCTGAGCAGGGCTCAGTGTGCTCTGTGCCCAACCTGCGATGCAATGCACACGTGCCAGGCTGGCCGTGCCGGTCTCACACCGTCCCCCTTGTGCCACACCATGGAGAAGGGGAAGGAGAGGAAGTTGAATCATTTTTAGCTGAAATTCCTTCCTTCCTTCCTGCCCCAGAATATCAGGAGGGGAAGGGCTGTGCAGATCGGTGGGGCCATGGCTTGCAGCGGGATCAGCGCAGCATCGCACTGCAAGCATCCCAATTCCCTTTCCAAGTTGTTTTTTTCTTTCTTTCTTTCTTCGCCCCCCCCTCCCCATCCCAAAGAGCTGCTCAATTCCCAATGGTGTTTTTTCCTCCCTTTATCCCCTGTTTATTTATATTGTTGGTAGCTCCCGTCCCGCTCCGGCCAGGCAGCGTGCCGTGCCGACGTGTCTGACGTCGGTGTCCCCGGGAGGGGACTGCAGGGAGCAGCCATTTGGAGACAGGGGAAGGAAAAAAAAGATCCAGCCCGAAGCCAGCAGCTGCACGGCTCTGCCTGCAGCCTGACCCACTTTGAGGGTTTGATCCTGTTTCTCTCTTAATCGTTTAATTGTGGCGTTTGCTCTGCTTGGGCAGCGCTCGCTGGGCCGGGGGTGTTTGCTCTTTAGTGTGAGTGATGTGCTTTTTTTTTTTCCGTCCCTTTTTAAAAAGAAAACAAAGTTGCCACTATTTTCAAGCTCGATTGCCTTCAGGATTGCCCTGTCCCATAGGAAGAATTCTGCCCTAGGAAAGAGCCGGGTGATGCCGGTGGTGCCCGCTTCCTCCCGAATGCTGCGGTGCTGCTATGGGGACAGAGCATCCCCAGCTTGCTGACATGGGGACGTCCCACCCAAAGATGATAATTGGGCTAAAAATAACCAGAACTGGGGAAAATAACGTCAGTCCAGGAGCAGGACTTGCCCTGGGCGCAGCAGAGCGTGGGACATTGGGCTGGGGCCGGTCAGAGCCTGGCAGCCTTTGGGCTGCAATGAGTCAGGGCCCTCTGTGAGTCAGCCCTGCAACCGCGGAATTTGGAGCCTGGAGGGCTCCCGAGTTAAATCTTTGAGGAAAACCCAAAGGCTGATGTTTGTGTGGTCACAGATTTAGGAGGTGATGTCTTCCCCAGCGTTGGGCCAGCGGAGCTCGTTGTCACTCCCAGGACCAGCATCTGCACAGCCCCAGATCTCAGAGAAATGCACCCAAAAGAGAAATATTGCAGCTCTGCTGCAGCCTGGCTCGGGGCTCGGTTGTGTTGGCGCTGCCTTTGGTTCAGAACAGGCGTGGTTTGGCTCCCCATAAGTCAATTAGGAAGAAGCTTATGCAAAGCCGAATTAAACTACTCTTTTAGACGGAAATAAGCCGGCGCTGGCCCTGCAGCTGCGGGTTATCCGGGAAGGGTCCGGCCGTGAGCTCGGTGCACCAGGCTCTGTGAAGCTCCAGTTCGCAGGCTTACAGCACAGAGCTCACAGCACAGCCCCTCCAGGGTCTCTCTGCACACGGGGTGATGCTGAAAGAACCGATCTCCACTTGGCCTGGATGAAGGCACCTGCTGCCCCGTGCCTGCCCGCCTGTAATGCCATAGGTAATCCCAGGGGTAATCCTGGGGGTAATCCTGATGGGTAATCGCACCAGGATCACGCTGGTGTTGTGCCCCTGCGTTTTCAGCCTACAGATACGCCTGGGCTCCAGCCTGCCAAGGTCCTGATTGCATCCCCTGATTGCAAACGTGATCGAGTGGATCAGCATCTGTGCCCCATGGCTGTGTGTGTGGGGTTGGAGTTAGCACGGCCCCAGCAGCCCCCAGTGAGATGCTTCCTAATGCCCAGGGCCTGCAGGGAGCTGGTTCTGTGCCATGGCCCTGTGGCACTGGAGCAGGAGGAGAGTGCTGATCCCATGGAAAGGGGTGAATTACTCAATGCCTGTAATTGTGGTTTCGGAGCTGTTGAGTCTTGGAAACTGGCAGTGTGGCTCTCCATCTGGCACTGCCTCCAACTTTGATCCTGTGGGGCTTTGAGTGGTGCCGGGACCCCACTGTGTGCCCCCACAGTGGCAACAGAGGGTCCTGAGGTGCCTTTCCTTCGTGGAGGTTGCATGTCCTGCAGGATGCGGGGTGGCAATGTGGAGTTTGGCTGTACTGTGTGTCCCTCTGTCTCTTGATCTGTTTGTCTCCTCTTTCCCCCTTCCTGCATTGCTGTCCTCTGGGTCTTGTGCCACCTCCATTGGGGTCTGTGCTCTGCTGGCAGCAGAGCGGGCAGCAAAAGGCAGCGCCTGCCCAGGTAAGCAGGGTTGGGGCTGCCTGAACTCGCACGCTGCACCCTCGCTTCATTGCAGCCCTTGGGGCAGGGCACAGGCCCATGGCTGCTCCTGACAGTGGTGCTGTGGCCCCAGCATCACTCTCCTGGTGCTCTGGGACTCCCAACTCCAGTATTGGCCCCGCAGCGCTGGCAGGAGCAGGGATGAGGAAGCAGCTGTGTTCCCATTTGAGAATAGAGGCACTGTCTGGGCCCCCCACCTCCTGCTGCCATCCCTCCAGCACCAGGCGAGGGGATGTGCTGCATCCCTGCAATGGCCCAAAGTCCTCAGGCAGCTTGTCCATCCTGCACCCTGCTGCGGGACCACAAGGCTCAGCGAGGGGGGGAAACATCACTGAACCATCTGCTGTCTGTCCGTCTGTCTGTCCATCTCTCTTCCATCCCTTGCAGCTTCCTCCCTGTTCTGCCTTCTGTAGCCTGCCAAGCACACTGCATGACGCCCCTGTCCTCTGCCTGTCCCCTGTGCTGCTCTCCCTCACCCCACTGAGCATCCCTTGGAGCTGGGATGGGAGAAGCACTTTCCCAAGGGGCAGGCAGGTGCCAGCTGCTGATGCTTCCCCACACTGGGCATGTGTTGTTCCTGAGGAGAAGCCAGGTCCCAGTGGTGATGGCGACTGCTCCGTCAGCCCGACCGCGCTCTCCCTGCAGGTTGAGCAGCCTGTCTTCCCTGGGTGATTCGTCTTCAGAGCGGAGATCTCCAGGACACCGCCGTCAGCCCTCTGATTCCTCCGAGACCACAGGTGGGTTTTTGCAATTGAGGACGGTGCTGAGCTCTTTGGTTGGAGAGCCAGCAGCTCCCAGCGTTAGCAGTGTTGGGCTGCATCGCGTTCATCCACAGGATGTGGATAGGAAGGGACCCTCCAAACAGCAGGCTTCAAACCGCCCTGAAATGTCTCCTGGGCTGGGATGAAGCTGTGGGTGTGGGGTTGGTGCTCCTATAAGCCATAATTTCCACACTGCACCAGGGATGTTCTGGCACTGAAAGACTGGGTTGCACACGGTGGTCCACACTGCAGCCCCAAGTGCTGTCACAGCTCCCAAAATCAGGCATCCTGGCAAAGCCATGGCTCAGAGCTTCACTGGTTTTTCTTCTGCCATCAACCCTTCTGTAGCCTGCCAAGCCCTGTGGCTGTGCACACTGCATGACGCCCCTGTCCTCTGCCTGTCCCCTGTGCTGCTCTCCCTCACCCCCCTGAGCATCCCTTGGAGCTGGGATGGGAGAAGCACTTTCCCAGCACTTTCCTGTCCCTCCCCAGGTTTGGTCCAGCGGTGTGTCATCATCCAGAAGGACCAGCATGGCTTTGGCTTCACCGTCAGCGGGGACCGCATCGTCCTCGTCCAATCTGTGCGGCCAGGTGAGAGGGTGGAGGGGCCTGGGGACACCTCGGGACCCCCTCACCTGCTCCGTGCCTCTGGAGAAAACGTATCACCAAGGGTTTGTCTCCTCAGTGGGAGATGCAGCAGGGTTTGGGGTGTCCCTGGACAGGGACAAGTTAAGTGCTGCCATGGGTGGGTGGGTGGGGAATTCCCTCCGGCAGCCCTGGGTAAACACACGTCGGCAGCGCGCGGCTCTTGGCGCTGTGCTGCAGGAGATGCTGCTGGTTTTGCAGTATAATGACTTTGCGGGGTGGCAGGGTTGGGAGCAGCAATTTAAACAGACAATGAGCTGCTTATTTTACAGCGGATGTTCCCACCTCCCTCCCCCTTCCCCCCCTCTAGCCTGAAAGCCAGGAAAAATGAGAATATAGTAAAGGGAAAGCACTGCGGGTTTCAAGAAGCACGTTTGCACTGGGGTTCCTCTCTCGTGCAACAGGAGCTGCGTGGGGAGACCCCTCCATGCCCCTCACTCCAGAGAGACACAGATTGGGATGGGGGCTTTCCCCAGCCATGCTGCTTGGTGTGTGGTCACATGCACCCACCTCACCCAGGCGTGGGACGGCGGGGACGCCCACCCAGGTCACTCACTGCCAATAGTGAGAGCGTTAAGAGCCAAAAGAATCCCAGCGATCCCATGTACTTTCCACTTTTGGAGCTCATTGCTATGTCTCAGCCTCTTGGCCCGGAGTCGGAGCTCATGGAAACATTTCCTCTTGGTTTTGGCTTGAGGAAAAGATAATTTTCCCTGTATTTCAGCCTCGGTGGCTTTGTTACAGAGTGGAGTGGGGAGAGGAGCAGAGCAGCGCTGCTGCTGGGCCCCTCTCCGGTGTCCACATGCACGTGGTGCTCTGGGATGTGTAGGAGTCACTGCAGATGCTGGAACCTGAGTCTGGCCAAGGATGGGAAGGGCTGGGTTGTGATTGCTTGAGCAGCACAAAGGCTATTTGGGCTGGAAGGTGGTGTTCACATCGTGTTGTACAGCCCTTCCTGATGTCGGTCTGTCTGTCTGTCCTGCAGGAGGAGCAGCCATGAAGGCCGGGGTGCAGGAGGGGGACCGCATAGTCAAGGTGAGAGTCATGGCCTGTGCTGCCATGCCCTGCTGCTGTGTCTGGAGCTGACGGCTCTGCTCTCCTCCCCTCTGCCAGGTGAACGGCACCATGGTGACCAACAGCTCCCACCTCGAGGTGGTGAAGTTGATCAAGTGTGAGTACGGCCAGAAACTGCCACAGCTCTGAGCTTGAGGGCCTGAGCTTTCCTTTTTGTGCTGCTGGGGACAAGGCTACATCTCCAGCTGGGGAGGGACAGCATTATGCCCAAGGGCAGGGCTTGGTTCTTGGGAGAAGATGAGGAAATCTGTCTCAGTCCTCCACAGGCACACAGGGATAGAGATGTGCCCAGCCATTGCTGCGATGCTCACCTGGTGTGTTTAAGGAAGTGAGTAACAGGAGATTTTCTTTCCCTTCCTTTCTAATCCTGGATGTCTTCAGCCGGTGCCTACGTGGCCCTGACACTCCTGGGCTCCCCACCACCGTCAGTGGGGCTCTCCAACTCCCAGCAAGACATGAGCACCACAGGGACACCTCGCAATGCCCCTGCCTGCCCCCCACCACCTCCACCCCCACCACTCCCCCCGCCGCAGCGCATCACTGGCCCCAAGCCCTTACAGGTAACGTGTCCTGCCCACCTTTCTCTCTGCCTTCCTTACTGGCTGCAATGCATCGTGGGCAAAGCTCAACCTGTCTTGTGTCCAACCTATATTGCAGGACCCTGAGGTTCAGAAGCATGCAACACAGATTCTCCGGAACATGCTGAGGCAGGAGGAGGCAGAGCTGCAGGTACAGCGCTGCTTCTCCTCCAAGAGTGACTCTGGGCTGGGTTGTGCCTTGCTTGAGCTGGTAGGCACTGGGAGAAACTTAGCTTTCCACCCTTCTCTTCTGCTCATGATGCTCAGTTAATGGGCTCTCACAGCAGTCTGTAGAATCCCAGCCAGACTGCGCTGGTACCTGGGTTAGATGTGCAACATTCGGGTACTGTTTGGCCCAGGGGAGCTCTTATGCACGCATCGGCCCATTGAGCCACACAGCAGCTGTGTCTTTGCCCCCATCCCGTGAGCAGCGGGACAGGCTGATGGGTTTGGGGTCTCTGTGAGCATCCTCATCTCTCACTCAGCGCTTCTACGAGGCGTACAACCGCAACCCCGGCACTGTGGTGGGGGAGCAGATCGAGGGAGCACGCCGGCGGGTCAGCCAGCTGCAGCTCAAAATCCGCCAGGAGACCAGTGGCTCCGTGGTAAGCGAGGGGCACAAGTTCTGTGGGAACTTAGGTTAGGGTTAGGCACCAGGCTTAAGGTGTCCTGGGCTCCCTCTGGAGATGAGGGAGCGTGGCCAGAGGAGTGCTGGTGTTCCTGGTCTTTCCCACTTTTGCTATGGTGGGTGGGAGCTTCTGCAGCCAGGTGTCCTCTTGTTCTGTGCTGGGGTGTCTCCTTGTGCTGGGTGACATCCCACTGGTCCCACATTCCCCTCGCCTTGCAGGATTTGGGAAGATTGTGTGGTGATTCCAGCATGGTGATGTCCAGGGCAGCAGAAGGTGAGTGGTGCTGGCAGTTCGTACCTTCCCCTCTCCTCAGTGTGCACAGGGCATTGCTGAACATGGGGCTCAGCCTCTCCTCCGTTCCCAGGCCGCCTCTCGCTGGACTCTCAGGATGGTGACAGTGGGTTGGAGTCGGGCACAGAGCGGTTTCCCTCTGTCAGTGAGGTGAGAGCACAGCCCAGCTCTGCTGGACCCCAGCAGCGATGGGGGAAAGTGTTGTTTAAAACTAAATGTCACCCGTGGTGGCTGAATATGACAGCGGGGTGCAGTTGGAGGGGTCTTTGGACCACTAGGAACCAAGGACCTGGCTTTGTAGTTGTGATTATTTGCTTACCTTCTGAACAAGCTGAATTTCTTGATGCTCAGAGCTGAGATTGCAGTGCTTGGGCTTGCACTGTATGTCCCGACATTGCTGCCCCAGAAATGAGGGCTGGTGCTTCTAGTCTTAAACAGCGCTCAAGGTTTTATGTGGTTTCCAAGTTCGCTGGGCTTATTGAGGATTTGGTCTTCACGGTCTCAGAGCTGCAAAGTGCTCTTGAGGGACAACCCTAAGCATTCCTGCCAGTCAGGCAAGAGCCATCCCCAACCTGTCCCCTCCAACACCCTGAACAGATCTCCCTGAGCCGCAACTCTGTCCTCTCCGACCACGGCCTGGACAGCCCACGCACCTCCCCAATCATCACCGCCCGCCTCTTCCAGCACCATCGTCGGCAGGGCTCCGACACGGCCTTCACCCCCACCACTGAGCAGGTAGGATGGAACCAGTGCCCTGGGCACACAGCGTCAGCCAGCCTGGCAGGGTGACGACGGCACGCCGAGTGTCCCCACACTCCTGGTGCCCAGCTCCTAACGCTGTCCCCCATCTCCTGCAGGGATCAGAGCGCATGGGACGACCTCTCATCATTGGGCCAGAGGAGGATTACGATCCGGGATATTTTAACAACGAGGTAGTGGCACCAAGCTGCTCTTGGCTCTTGTCCCATCTCTCTGGGGGCAGCTGGCCAAGGTCACGGGACAGGCTGTCACTCCTCCCGTGCTCCTCCCTTTGTGGCTGCATGCCCTGGAACCCAGGAAGCAGTGACATTTAGAAATCCTCCTGAGGAGGAAGCTGTTCAGTGACCTCATCTGCCTCTGTCATCTCAGTCCGTGTCGAGAGCATTCCTGGATGACAGCTGTCACCAGCCTGGCCACCGCCGTGGTGGGGATGGGGATGTCCTGGGTTGGGCTGGTGGGAAATGGGGAGCAGGGGCTGGAGCTTCACCCAGGGATGTGCCATGGGGCTCCAGACAGGTCGGTTCCCTTCTTTCCTAATCAATGCTTCTCCTTTGGGCTCCGCAGTGCGACTCCCTCTTCCAGGATCTGGGCAAGCTGAAGTCCCGACCAGCACATCTGGGAGTCTTCCTGCGCTATATATTCTCCCAGGCAGATCCCAGCCCCCTGGTAAGAGCTGAAGGCAGCAAGCTAGGAGAAGTGCCAAAAGGGCGATGTATCCGTGCCTTCCCCACATCCCTGGGGCCTGTGGGTGCTGCTGGTTTGCTAAGCACGTTGCTGAGGTGCAGGCTCCATGTGTAGGGCTCAGGCAGCTGCTGGCAGCCGCGTCCCCAGCTGTGCAGCAGTGAGGGAAGCCCAGTGTAGGGTTACACGTCCTCCCCTTCCTCCCAGGCGTGACGCGGGGAGGGCGCTGCCCTCCCAGACCCCCACGGTCGTTTCCTGTTTCATGGCCGTCTGGCTGCTGCTCTATTGGATGTTTCACCTTCCTGCTTCTAAACCTTCCTCCTTCTTCGCTGCCCACCTCTGGTCTCCCCTCCTTGCAGCTCTTCTACTTATGCGCAGACGTTTGCCAGCAGACAACAGCGAAGGATTCCCGGGGTTTGGGGAAGGATATCTGGAACATTTTCTTGGATCGGAACGCGGTGAGGCCAGGGGTTGTGTGCCTGCATCGGGGTCCTTGCATCTACAGGGGGTTGGAGGGGAACCAGCTGGAAAGCCAGCATCAGTGTCATGTCCGTTGCACGAGGGTCTTTTTATCACAGTTTTTGCCACTGACAGTGCTTTGCTGATGCTGGTTTCTCTGCTTCAGTGCAAATTGCGTAAAGCATTGCGCAGGCGTTGCACAATGGCAGCAGCACCAGGCAGCTTGGAGCAGGGGTCATAAAGGCAGGGCTGGAGCTCAGGCTCTGCCCTTTATTCCTGGGTTACCTATTGCTCGGAGGGAGCACGCTGCTCCAGAGGGGTTTGTGTTCCGGGTGCTGCAGTGAGTGCTTGATGCTTTGTGCACTGGTAGCGTGGGACTCTCAGCTCTCACGCCCCCCAGCTGCAGAAATGCCAAACAGTGACAGTGCAGGAGCACGGGGCACCCTCACCCTGCAAGCTCAGAGCTGTGTGAGTGTAGCTTTGGCATGCATGCTGCGTCCCAAGTTCCTTCACGTACTGTGCTGTGTTCCTTGTGCAGCCTCTCCGAGTGAAGGTGTCGGAGCAGCTTCTGGCTGAGATCGGTGAGTGAGAAGTGCTCAGGAGCTGCCAGAAGATCCTCACTGCACTTTCCTGCATGGCTGGTGACACTGCCTGTCCTTTTACCACCCAGAGGCTCGCCTGCGGAATGGGGATGACGTCCGAGCTGCCCTCTTCGAAGCTCAGGAGATGGTGATGCCCGAGATACAGGAGCAGATCCAGGACTACAGGTGACAGTGGAATGGTCACCCCAGAGAGCTCAGCATACCTTCCCCCTATGCTTCATGGCACTGACCCTCGTGTGCCCACAGAACGAAGCGCACCATGGGCCTGGGGAGCCTATATGGGGAAAATGACCTCCTGGACCTGGATGGGGACCCGCAGAAGGAGCGGCAAGTGGCCGAGAAGCAGCTGGCACAGCTGGGTGACATCCTGTGAGTGTGGGCTGCCTGGTCCTGCCACCTCCCCAGCGTGCTGGTTGAGGTCGGGAAGGAGAATTTGGAGTAGGAGCTGGGGGTGCTGGTGGCAGAGGTGGGAGGAAGGGGCTGCTGGGGAGAGCACCCTGCCCTGGGATGGCTCCCTGGGGCTGAGCAGAGGAACTCAAACAAGCTCTTTTATTCCTCCCCGTCTCTCTCTGTAGGTCAAAATATGAAGAGGACAGGAGGTGAGTGACTCTCAGCCATGGCAAGCATGCACCCAGTTGTGATTGTATTGCTGTTGTTGACTGAGGAGGGGAAAAGGGGCTCAGAGAGGAGGTGCTGAACCACCCCTTTCCCATGCTGGCCTGCAACACTTTGTCCCAGTGCCAGCTTTATCCCTGTGGGCTATCATGATGATAGGCCCTGGAAAAGGAGTGTCCCCAACTCTCCTTCTTGAAGGCTGCTGCCTTTCTGCCCTCCTTGTCCCTTCCCCGATGTCTCCTGGCCAGGGAGAAGTGATCTCTTTGTCACCCCAGACCCCACAGGGTTTCCCAGTTCCATTTTCACCCTCCAAGCCGTGCTGCCGTGTCCTGGTGCTCTATCTCCACTCAGACTCTCTTCTCTTGCAGCTCCCCCATGGCCTTTGCCCTCAGCACATACATGAACCACACTGGCATCCGCAGCCGTGAGCCACGCGTGGCCAGCAGCAGTGAGAAGGCACAGGCCCTCCCAGACAAGGACAAGTGGCTGCCCTTCTTCCCCAAAGCCAAGAAGGTGAGTGGCACGATGGCTGCTGTCCCTCTGTTCTGCTCCCAGCTCCCTCTATAACGTGTGGTTGGGATGGAGGAAGAGCTGTGGTGTATTGCCCACGTTGTGATGCCAGCATTCCTCTTGGGTGTCCCAGCAGAGCAGCAGCACGAAGAAGGACAAGGATGCCATGGAAGACAAGAAGCGTAACCCCATCCTAAAGTACATTGCGAAGCCCAAAATGTCCCAGAGCAGTGAGTATTGGGATATTCTGGATCACTGAGCTGCTCAGCTCACTGCTGCTGGGAGATCTACAGCCTTTGGGTGGCCCTTGGGCACCCACCACCCCATAGCAGGCACTTCTCGTCTGCCACCTGTGCTCTCTTCATCCAGGCTCTTTCAAAACCTTGCTCCCAAATGGCTTTGAAGGGAGAGGGAGGAGGGGAGCTGAGCAGTGCTTACCCTGAAAATAATTCTTGCTGCCCCATCCTGCAAGCTTGCCAGGAGCTGTGGGGTGGGCTGAAGTGGTGGAGAGCGTGCAACGACACGTGTGTGCTCTGACACATGTGTGCATGTGTGCTCTAACACGTGTGTGTGTGTTCCCCCCCCCCCTGCTTTCAGTTCTTATACCATTAGCTCACACGCTCCCTTCTCTGCCTCCTCCGCTGTTGAGACGCAGGATTGATTTGACATCTCATTTTTGTTTTTTTTTCCTTTCAGCATTTCATGTCCCTTTGTCCCCTGTTGAAGGTAAAAGCCCTTTTCTTTTATTTGCCATTCATCTCACGTGCTCAGTTTTGGTTTGTCCCCCCCCAGCACTGCTGCACCAGGCACTGGATGGGCTGTGGGGAGGGAGGAGGGCTGCCCATGGGCACTCTGGATGTCCCTGGGGAAGCCCCAGTGGTGGCCTTGGTGACATCCCACAGTGAGGGCAGCGATGCCACCGTCTGTCTCCTCCTGCCTGCCCTCACTGGGATCTCTCCCTTCTCTTTGCCCTAGCAGTCAAACCCGGCAATGTGAGGAACATTATCCAGCACTTTGAGAACAACCAGCATTATGAGAGCCAGGAGCCTGGCTCGCAACGTCTCTCCACCGGCAGCTTCCCGGAGGACCTGCTGGAGGGTGACGGGTAGGAGGGGTTTGGGGTGGCAATTCCTGCCCTCTGTGCTCTCACCCCATGTTTTCTGCCCTGTGCATCCCTCAGCCTGATGCTCAGGGCTCTGTCTCCCTGCTGCAGATCTCGTGCTGAGGTCAAGCTGGGCCGCTCAGAGAGCTTGAAAGGCCGTGAAGAGATGAAGAAATCAAGGAAAGCTGAAAACGTGCCCCGCTCCCGTAGCGATGTGGACATGGATGCTGCAGCCGAGGCCACCAGGCTTCACCAGTCAGCATCGTCCTCTGCCTCCAGTCTGTCCACCAGGTGGGAGCTGCCAGCAGAGCCAGGCTAAGGGAGATAGGAGTTCCCTGTGGCACTCAGGAAGGAGCTGGGATGGTCCATTGCCTGCCCCCAGTGTCTGGGCTCTGCACCTCACCCCTTGGGTTGGGATGCTGCCTCCTGGGCAAGCCCTGAGAAGCCAGGTCAAGCTCTGGCCACTCAGTTCTTACCTGCAGATCTTCACAGCTGATGTTTGTCGTGGGAAACCAGTTAGAATTGGGTTTAATCCACATTTGTGCCCCAAGCCCTGCATTGCAATGGCTGGCACTTGCCCCTCATCTCAAGCTATTTGCTCCTGGGAAGTGGTGCAGGGTGCTGTATTGGGAGGAGAGGGCCCTGTGGGTGCCACAGGATCTAATGGGTGATGCTCCTGTCCCTTCCCAGGTCGCTGGAGAATCCCACCCCCCCCTACACACCGAAGATGGGACGCAGGTGAGTGGCACAGCTGCTGCTGCCATCGCCTCTACCTCACCACCCCGAGCCCGCCGCCACCTCTAGGGCTGGGTCCTACAGAGCAGGAGGGACACTGTAGAGGGGGCTGGGGGTGTCAGAGGGGATCTTCCTAGCTTCTCCTGGGCCTTGATAGAGCACCAGGGGAAGTGATGCTCAGGGCTGCCCTGGGAGAGAGGGAGGGAGCCCCCACAGTTGCCTCCACTTGGCGCAGTCCTGTGTAATGCCAGCTCCCCGTCCCAGGGGTTAGGGGGCACCTCTGTTCCCTTGTGTCTCACGCAGGAGCTTAATCGACCTATATAGATGGCTGCTGGGGGACCTAGTCTGTTAGCTCAAGAGTCAGAGGCTTGTGCTTCTTGTGCTGAAGGTCCCAGGTTCAAGCCGAAATAGGGCCCAGGTAGATATTGGCTGTGCTGGAAGTGCTGCAGGCGGGCTCATGGGGGATAGGGCTGCAGAGTACTCCCACTACTGTTTTTCATCCACCCAGGAGCATTGAGTCGCCCAGCCTGGGCTTTGGCGCCGACCCCTTCATGCCTCACCTGCTGGAGGATGAGCAGGGCCAACTCTCGGACCTGGAGCCAGAGCTGGATTCACAGAACTGGCAGCACACGGTGGGCCGGGAGCTGCTGGCCAGCCTGCCTCAGAAGGAGATTGACCGGCAGGAAGTGATCAATGGTGAGGAGCTAAAAGTGAGGAACTGGGGGTCTGTGCTTCTGCAGATGCAGCCCAGAGGCACCTCCAACTCCTCTGCCTCTCCACAGAGCTCTTTGCCACGGAGGGGTCTCACCTACGCATCCTCCGAGTCCTTGACCTCCTCTTCTACCAGCGGATGAGGAAGGAGAGCTTGCTGTCCCGGGAGGAGCTGGCACTGCTCTTTCCCAACCTCCCAGATGTGATTGAAATCCACAGTAAGTTCTTCCTTCCCTCCCCTCTGCCCCGTGAACCTTCCTGCGATATTCCTCACTGTTCCAGCCCCGTTTCCCTCTGCTGGAGGCTCTCCAGAGCCTGTTATTCCAGGATCTGCCAATGCCCGTGTCATGCTGGGTTGTTTGATTGTTGCAGATCTTTGTAGCCCACTTTCAGTTTCGCTCGTGGCAGCAGCAGTCAGAGTTCACTGTGTCTCCCACTTCCTCCTCCAGATTCCCTCTCCGAATCTATGAAGAAGCTCCGGGAAGAAGGACCAATCATTAAGGAAATCGGGGATCTCATGCTGTCTCGGGTAAGGAGGGGTGGCTGCTCAGAGGGGATGGGGTGACTCCAACCCTGGGGACATCACGTCCTCTAGGAGTAGACAGAGGGTCCTGGAGGTTTCTGTACAGAGTGCAGAAGTGACCCTACTGTCACAGAGACCTGCACTGTCCCCCAGTGCCTGGGGGACCAGAACACGGGGATGAAGGAGCTCTGGGAGAGCCGTGGTGGGATCGAAGTGGGCAAGATCTGTGGGTTTCTGAGCCCACACCTTTCTGTGCCCCCAGTTTGACGGCCTGGCCAAGGAGGAGATCCAGCAGGTCACTGCTGACTTCTGCTCCTATCAGTCCATCGCGCTGGAGCTTATCAAGACCAAGCAGCGCAAGGAGACCCGTTTCCAGATCTTCATGCAGGTTCGGTCCACTCTTGGGCTGCTTCTCACCCCACGGCTCTCTTGGCTGCCCTTGCTCACACCCCAGGGCCTTCATCCTCTTCCTCCTGCCCTAGGAAGCAGAAAGCAACCCTCAGTGCCGGCGCCTGCAGCTCAAGGACTTGATCATCTCAGAAATGCAACGCCTGACCAAGTACCCATTGCTGCTGGAGAACATCATCAAGCACACTGAGGGTAGGGGCTGGAGGACTCGTGGCTCTTCTCACCCAGAGCCAATCTCAGGGCTGTGAGGAGGGTGTGCTGCTGTCCAGCAAGGATGGGTGGGTGCTGGGGGGGACTCCTCCCCTCCATCAGCTCTGGGCTGGCTCCATGTGGGCTCGGGATGCAGCCATGGGTTTGAGTGCTGCTCAGCTACATGGGGCAGCACTTGCTCCCCCTGACCTTCACCCTGCTCCAGCGGGCACCTCGGAGCACGACAAGCTGTGCCGGGCCCGAGACCAGTGCCGGGACATCCTCAAGTATGTGAATGAAGCGGTGAAGCAGGCAGAAAACCGACATCGGCTGGAGGGCTACCAGAAACGCCTGGATGCCACCTCACTGGAGAGGACCAGCAACCCGCTGGCAGCTGAATTCAAGGTGATCCCAGCTCCTGGGGGTCGGGGGGGAGGGGTGCCCAGTGCCAGCACATTCACTGCTGCCCTCTCCCTGCTACAGAGCCTGGACCTCACCTCTCGGCGCATGATCCACGAAGGGCCGCTCACCTGGCGTATCAGCAAGGACAAGACCGTGGGTACGGACCTCTGCTCGGGTCCTGCAGGATGTGGGCCAGCCCTGGTGGCATTCTGAGGACCCTGTGAGGCTGTGCCAGCTGAAAGCGTCGTGTCCTCATCAGGGCCATCCTTCCTGGACTGTGAGCACAACCCTGAGCCTTTTCTCTCTGCTCTCCGCTCCAGATCTGCACGTGCTGCTCCTCGAGGACCTCCTGGTGCTGCTACAGAAACAAGATGAGAAGCTGGTGCTCAAGTGCCACGGCAAGACAGCTCTGGGCTCCTTGGACAACAAGCAGACCTTCAGCCCCGTCCTCAAGCTCAACTCAGTGCTCATCCGCTCTGTGGCCACAGGTAGTGAGGGGACAGCAGGACGCGGGGGGTGGCAGGGAACCCGTCCTCTGAGCGTGTTCTTTGCTGTACCCTGACCTTCTCCATTGCTCTGTCCCCTGTGCAGATAAACGAGCCTTCTTCATCATCTGCACGTCAGAGCTGGGACCCCAGATCTATGAGCTGGTGGCACTGACATCCTCCGAGAAGAACACGTAAGGGCTAAAGGGGTGCTGGTGCCATGGGAAGTGTGTGGTGGGGAGGGGTCTCCCCAGTGTGACCCCCCCAGGAGCTGACGGTGCTCTGGGCCGGCCAGGTGGATGGAGGTGCTAGAGGAGGCGGTGCAGAGTGCCATGAGGAATGCCACCTTCCCCCCAAAGCGCCAGGTGCCAGAGCCCACCCGCATGGCACCTTCAAGGTGAGCAGCGTGGCTTCACTGGGTGCTCCCAGCTGGAGCCTGGGTGGCACTGATGAGTGTCTCCAGCTGGTGGGGCTGGAGACATGAGTTCTCCCTGCTGCAGGAGCTACTTGCTGGAGACCCAGAGGCAGCTCCCAGGGCTCCTGGCCCCTTAGCACTGCCATCCTCCAGTCTAACCCCTCTCCATCCTGCAGCGTGGTGTTGCAGGACCCTGATGTCTCCCCCATCCCTTCCCAAGTCAGCAGCTCTGCAGCAGAAGTGGAGGAGAGCTCCTCAGGTGATTCCCCATGCTCAGTTATCCATCCGTCCCTGGGGTTGGGACACAACCCTGAGCTCTCCCCTCTCCCTGTAGCAGATGACAATCCCACGGAGCTGCTGGGCAGGGAGCAGCCTTCGGTGCTGCTGGAGGAGCCAGAAAGCAGCGAGGTGGAGGAGGAAGAGCTGCCTGCTGGATCCCTGCATACAGAGGTGTCTGATGCTCTCCCAGAGCCCTCCATGCGCCTGGCACTGCCAGTTCCCAACCCGGCCGAGGGGTTGGCCGAGGCAGCCCTGGAGGATGGTGAGTGGTGCTCAGAGGGATTGGAGAGGCCCACCTTGTGATGTCAAAAACTCCCCCAACCCTATTTTCCCCCCCCCGTCCCAGTGGAGAACCTGCGGCTGCTGATCCTGCGGCGGCTCCTGCCCAGTCGTGACACAGAGCCTGAGGATGACCTGACACCCACGCCGTCGGTCATCGGGGGTACCCACACCTGGGACTCAGTGCTCTCCAGTCAGGATTCAGCCTCCCAGGAGGTGCTGGCTGAGCCCCCCAGTGCTGCCGAGGAGCCAAAGCCCCGATTGGGGTGGGAGGAGCAGAGTGAAACGGGTCCAACAGTGTCTGCTGAGGAGCAGAGCAGCTACAAGGTGGTCCGGAAAGGTATGGAGAGCTGCCAGCCCCAAACCAGGCATGGATGGGGACACCTGGGGACTGTTCCTTTCTCTCCCCTCGCTGGGATTTGGGGTCGCTCTGCATGAGCTTTGGTGGATCAAAGCTGGGGTGCTGGTGGTGGGCTCTGATGGGTGCTGGTGATGGGATGCTAACTGATGCTGGGGTGCTGGTAGTTGGGTGCTAATGGTGGGGAGCTGATGGATACTGGTGCTGAAGTGCTAATTGGTGCTGGGATGCTGACTGATGCTGGGATGCTGACCGATGCTATGCTGGTATACGGGTGCTGGTGATGGGATGCTGATTGGTGCTGGTGGTGGGTGCTGGTGGCGGGGCCAGCTCACCCCCTCCCTCTCCCTCCCCCCTCTCTTTTTGGGGTGCACAGCCCCAGCGGAGGGTGCTCAGGAGGCCACGCCCTCGCCAGGCAGCAGCCAATCAGAAACTGAGCTGCAGGAAGGAGGCGGAGCTAATGTAGATGGTAAAGAGACCCCCATCCCTTCCTGGGGGGTGTCCTTGAGTCCCCAGAGCTGTGTTTCCCCATTATACCCTCCTGTCCCTTGAAAGCAGCCATGTCCTCCAGGGGGACACGTGTCCCTGGGGGGTGCTGTATCCTTGGGGAGGGGTGGGAGGGGGTCATGTCTCCCCGAGGGCTGTCCCCACAGCTGAGGACACGGAGTGCCACCACAGCCCTGATGCCCCCCACCACACTAACACTGCTCCTCCCCTCCCTTGCAGGTAATTACTTCTACGTTAGCATGCCCGCCGGGCCCCCTGAGCCTGCACCACCTCCAGGACCCCCCCAGGCCATCCAAGCTGAGGAACCTCCCCGGCCCAGCACTGCTGAGTGTCCCCCAGACCCACCTGGCCCCCTCCACGATGTCGACCTCATCTTCCGCACCATCGAGCAGCTGACGCTGAAACTCAACAGGCTCAAGGTGAGCCCCAGTCGAGGGTGAAACCTCAAACCTGTGCCCTCCCCAACCTGACTTCATGCCCTTTCCCCTCGGTGCCTCCCCAGGCTGTGGAAGCTGCCCACCGGGAGCTGCTGCTGTCCCTGGGACACAGCTCATCTGCAGACACCACCCCTGTGGGGCTCCCGGCCCCTGGGATGGAGGGATGGACCCAGCGGCCCCACAGCCCCGAGGCTGACAGCCCCCTGACCCGCTCCCTGCGGAGCCTGCAGGGCCACAGCACCAACATCCCAGGTGAGCGGCTGCACCCCATCTCCTTTCCCTCGGGTTTCCATCTCCCCATCCCCCTCAGGACCCCACTTTTTGCCATCCTCCTCACTTACCCTTCTTGCCCCGTTCTCTCTGTCCCCCTTCAGTATCTCCCCCCCATCCTCCTCACCCCTTTCTCCCACTTCCTAATCATCCCCTTAGAACGGTTGGGGTCGGGGAGAAGCCTTCATGCACCCCCTGACTCCAACTCCTCCCCCCTCACACCCCCCTTATCTCCTCTCCTCCAGGCTGCAGAGCCCCTTTGGCCGAAGACCCCGCGCACACAGCCGACCTTTAGCCACGGAGCGGGGTGGGGGGTCTCCCCCCCACAATCACTCAAAGCTGGGGAGCTGCCCACCAACCCCCCCAACCTCCTGTGGGCTGGGAGCAGTGCCAGCCTCACCCCGGGGGGCAGGGGGGGGCTCCTCTTGGAAGGAGGGAGCGTGGGACCCCTGGGCCCCCCCCCTTCTCCCCCACCCTGCATGGCAGCCCCAGCCTGGCTCCCTGCACCCCTGGCCGCGAGCGCTGGATCTAGTCTGTATAAATGCACTTTGTTTCGTTCCTCTCCGTGCTGCGGCCCCCCGCTCCCCGCTGACTATAAATATGTACGTATGTGCACCCATCGTGTAAATAACCCCCCCTGTCCTCCCCCCCCCGTGTCACCCCCATTGGGGACAGCGTTGTCCCCATGGCTGGGGCGAAGGGCAGCATCCGCCCATCCCACGCGTAGAGGCGAGGCCGGCGCTGGGGTGTCTGATATATATAATATATATAATAGAGCCAAGACTGACTGGTTGCTGTTTGATGCTGTATAATCTGTTTTATTTTCTTCCTTTCCACGGTAAAGAAATTTATTGTTGTTGTTATTTTTTAAAAGAAAAGCCCAGAAATACGGCTGTTCTTCACCCGCAGGCACACGTGGGGCTCATGGGTCCAGGCTGTGCTCCTCCTCCTGCCCCCCAGGCTGGGGTTTTGCTCCCTCCACCGCCGTGTTTGGAAGAAGCCACGGGGGTCCCAAGGCTATGGATGCTATAGAGGTCCTTATGGGGTGGAGGGGAGAACTATTGAGGCTCCTAGGGAGGTCCCACAGGGGCTGAGGGTTCCTGCACCCCCCATGACGACGTGCGAGGTGGGGTCAATAATGAGATGGGTCAGTAATTAGACAGGAGGACGAAGCGAGAAGGAGCGGGACGGACCCGAAAGGGACGCGGTGTCACTCGGAAGGCGCGGTCAGGGCAGCGCTCACTCCGAACCGTTAGGGGTCGCTGCAGGTTCCGTCCGCGCCCTTTTTATAGGACTCCGGGGGCTCACGGCAGAACCAATCGCTGCGCCGCTGCTGAAGCCCCATTGGTCCATTTCTGGGCCAATCACCGGCACAAGTTTTTCCCATTTCCAGCCAATCACCTCGCGCGCTTTGGATCCGCCTCTGGACCGCCGAAGAGCCGATCCTTGTCCCCCCTCTCCTCCCCCCCCCCCCCCAACGCGGTTTCTATGCCAACCTCAGGCCGCGCTGGGTTCTCCCCGCGTTCCTTCCTGGGATTCGCGCTGCTCCTGTCAGCAGTTTCCCTTCCCTCCCCGCTCCCCCAAAACCCCAGAAAACAAGAATTAAAAAAATAAATTTATTAAGAAAAGCCCAGAAAAGCGCTGCTTCTAAGGGCACTCAGGGATCCTGGCTGCGCTCTTCCTCATCCTCCACAAGCTTGGGGAGGGGGTCCCGCTGCAGCAGCAGCTCCTGGAGCCGGGTAAAGGCGGCACAGGCACTGGAGAAGTTGTTCCTCTAAGAGAGGGGCACAGGGAATAAGGCCGTGCCTTGCCAGCAGCCCCCCCACCGAGCCTGGCTTACATTCAGCGAGAGGCATCGCAGCCCCTGTCTCCCCCCAGCTCCCTCCTGCTGCTCCTGCCCCTCCACCGCAGCCAGCAATGCGCCCAGGCCTCGCTCTGTGATGCGGTTGTCTGTGGGGGGGGAGGACACGAGCATGGGGAAGGGGCCGTGCTGCAACCAGGCCCCCCCAGCCCCACACTCACGGGACAGGTTGAGGTTAAGCAGCACCCGGTTCCCAGGCAGGATGACATTCCCACCGCAGTGCAAGCCTGGCTCCAGCAGTGGGTGGCTGGGCTCAGCTAGATCACCTGCCTGGGGGCATTGGGAGAGGTCCTGAGGATGCAGGGGCCACAGCAGGGAGTGCAAACCCCCTCAAGTCCCACTGTGCTGCTCACTTCAGTGTCCTGCTGCTCCTCGATGGCACCCTTTGCACCACGGCTGCGGCCGGGTCGGGAGTCTGAAGGGGCAGTAGCTGCAGGAAGAGCAGAATGGGAGCAGCTGAGTCAGGAGCAGCTCCCCCAGCATGTCCCCCAGCACCCTCACTCACACTTCTTGCTCTGCTTGCTCTTGTCCTTCCTCAGCAGCTCCTGCAAAGGCCAGCAAGCTCAGCCCCACTGCACTCCTTGGGCAGCACTTTGGGACCCTCTGTGACCTCCACCCAGTACAGGGAAATGGGGAAACTCAGGCACAGCTACAGCACCACCCACCCCCAGACACCCCCAGGCGGAGCACCCAAAGACCCCACGTCAACTGCCTGCCTCCTCACCTTCTTTTTGGTTGTGCTCGTGCGCTGTTTGGTTGCAGACAGCTTGCCTGCTGCTGCACTGACCTGCAGGCTCAGGGCATGCCCACTGCTGGACTCGGCCTGCTTGGGGATATAAAAAGAAATACGCTCAGAGATATGGCCCCCAAAAGGCAAAGCTCCCACCCACCCCACACCCAAAGCTCACTGCACGGGGCTGTCCCTGCTCCTCCATCAGCAGCCTCCTCCGCTCCACCACCTCCTCGTGCCTCAGCTTGAAGGGCTGCAGCACCTCTGCCAGCTTCACTGCCCCTGCATCCCCAATGCGGTTGTGGGCCAGGGACAGGGAGAGCAGTGAGCGGTTCCAGCGCAGCCCCTGGAGGGGAGGGGATGAGAAAGGTGATGGGAGGGGGCACGGGCAGCATTCAGCTCCCCCATGGCCCTCTTGCCCCCACCTCAGCAATGTGCTCTGCGCCCACATCAGAGATGCGGTTGAAGCTGAGGACCAGCGACACCAGGCTGCGGTTGGAGGAGCTCATGCTGGAGAGGCCCTGTCCCAGAAGTTGTGCAGCCCTGTCATCAATGCAGTTGTTGCGCAGAGACAGGTGGGACAGCCTGGGGTTGAGGAAATTGGGAGGCATTGGGGGTCACTCCGTAGCTGAGGATCTGAGCTCTGTGCCAAGGGATGAGCCTGGCACTCACGTGCTGCTGGCCCCCATCAGCACGTGGAAGGAGTGCTCTGGCAAAGGGTTCCCCTCCAGGGTGAGCGACCTGTGGGGTAAAACAGCACCAAGACCATCTCAATTAATGACAACAAGAACTTCCCTCCCCCACCTCACCTACCAGAGCCGGGGGCACCTTGCCACCATCGTGCCTAGAGCAGGCAGTACGTGATCAGTCAGCCCAGTGCTCCAGAGGCTGCAGGGATAGATGGCATCACTCTGCCGTCCCCCATCACTGAGCACTGCCTGTGGACCACCCACAGCTCCTCCCCCCATGCTCACTTTAGGGTCTTCAGGCTGCCCAGGGCAGGCAGGCACTTGCTGAGCACACCCAGCATCTCTTCGTCCACTTTCCAGCCTGCAGGATGCGAGATGGAATGAGGGAAAAGTCTCTAACTGTGGCTTCAGCCACCCAAGGGACTGGGGGTGGCAGGGGGAGGGCTGGCATGGCTCACTCCTCTCCAGTGCTGTTTCCCCACCTCGCAAGAAAACCCCGCAGACGCTCCGGGGGTCACTGTCATTCTGCAGCTCTACTTGGATGCAGCGCTCTCCCAGTCTGCAAGGCTCTGCACCCTCAGCTGTGGATGAAGCAGCGTTTGAAGAACCAAATCTCTCCCTCCCTACCCCTCAGCCACCCCCATTCCCTCACTTGCTGCACAGGAAGGCCTCACAGTGACCCTGGGGATGGAAGCGATGCCAGCCCAGGCACAGAGCTCTGTCAGGTCTTGCTGCAGGAGCCCACAGCACTGGTACTGCTCTGAAAAGAAACACAGGGTGTGAGGGGGGGGATCCCTTCAGCCCCCACCCCCCCATTTCACCAGGCTCAGCCTTACCAGCACCTTGCTCAGCTCTCTGCTCACTCTCCATCTCTGCAGTCACTGGGAGAGCGTAACACCAGGCAATACATTCCCTCCACCACTGTACGGTGGAGGGGGGTGGGCGGTTGTCACAGTTACCCCCTGAACCAGAGGATGCTACAAAGATCCTCAACGTGGAGGGGTTTCATAGAGGGGGGGAACCGTGCGGGCTCCTACGGAGGCACCATAAGGGGCTGAAGGTCCCGGACCGGACCCACCTCACCACCTGAACGCGGCCCCGCGGTCGACGTAGACGAGAAGCGGAGGACGAAGCACCATAGGCAGCCCGGAACGCCGGGAGCGAACGGGGAGCGGCTGCCTCCGTCTTCGCGCTTTTACAGGCGGTGCGCCGCTGCTGAAGCCCCATTGGTCCATTTCTGAGCCAATCGATGGGCGCAATCTGTCACCCTTCCAGCCAATCACCGCGTGTCTTTCGGCTCCGTTTTTCGTACCATCGCTGGGCGAGTCAGTGGCAACACCTCTTGGCTCCGCCCACCGCCGCCATCGGACCAATCAGAGCGCGCGCTTTCAATCCGCCTTTGGGCCGTGGAAGCGTCGCTCCCTCCCTCCTCCTCCCCCCCCCACGCGGTTTCTATGGCCGCGCTTTGCTCCCTCCGGGTTCCTTCCTGGCTTTCGTGCCGCCGCCATCCCGGGGCCAGCGCTGCTGCTTCCCCTCACCGCCCTCCTCCCAAGGACACGACTCCTGAGGACGCCGCTCCCACAACCAACCCGGCTTTATTGACAGCAATGCCCCGAGGGCTGCGGGACAGCGGCGGCGACAGGGCAGACCCTTTATAAGGGGGGGGAGGGAATCCGATCCTGCGCGGACCCCGGGCTGCTCGCTGCCGTCTCTCGGTGTCCCCGCTGCAGGGCAGCGTTTCCTGTCCACGTGTCGCGATGTGAAGGGGGGGGGGTTTCAGCGATCCTTCCTGCGGAGAGGAGGGGACGGCGGGTGACGGACGGGGGGCACGTCGTAGTGGCTGGGGATGTGGCTGTTCTTTGGCGAATCGTAGTGGCTGGGAATGTCCCGGGCTGGAGCTGCGCACTCTGCCCCCCCCGGGCTGCTCTCTGTAGGGAGGAGAACGATGGGAGATGAGAGTCTCCTGTCCACAGGGCTGTCCATCAGGATGCCCCCCCTCCCCGACAAACCTCCCCCCCCCATCCCCCGGGCGTACCTTCCTCGTTGCTGTCAGGCTCCTCCAGGAGCCCAATCTCTGCGTAGGACATCTCTCGCTGCACCGGGGACTTCATCTCCATGTAGCTGCCCTCGGGGGCCTTGGCCAGAGGTGATGGCACGTCCTTGATGGTGGCATAGGGGTTCTCACTGGCTAGAGAGCTGCCGCTGGCCCTCAGCCCCTCCTGGGGGTGCTCTGTGGGGGAGGCAGAGGGGCCCCCATCATTAATATACGGAGAGCGGCCGTGCCCACATGGGTCCTATTCAGATCCCATCCCTGCTCCATTCCATCCCTGCTCCATCCCATCCCCATTCCCAGTCCCATTGGTACCCGTGCTGTAGTACTTCCCCAGGCTGCAGGTGTAGCTGTAGCTGTAGCTCCGCTCCATCTGCCCCCCGCCTGGAAACCAAGCATCATGAGAGTCAGGGGAAGGGGTCCTGTTGGTCTTCTCCACCTCCTAAAGCAC